TGGACGAAGAAGAAGTCGATGAAATCTCTCACTCGCATCTTTACTTCCAGCTTGTTCCACCAGCTGTTGAAAAATCTCTTCTTCCGTATTTTCTCCAGGTGACAGGTCATTCTGACAGATGAGGACATCAGCGATGTGGAAAGAGAGTACAGGAGAGCAGGAGGTGGAACAGCACACAGGATCCAACGATCTCATCAGATAGGACATGTAACGATTGCATCAAGCCAGTAGAAATACACGCATAGAAAAGTTATCACAACAAGTCACAGGGCATATCAGCAACTCTCAACAAATTCACTGACTTGTCGATCGACTCTCTGCAAGACGATTTCCATCTCTCCAAGTGGTTCAGCGCGATGACGTCGTCGAAAGTCCCCAGCACAATCATCTTCGCCGCTCTTGTTCTCTCAGCATACACCTGTATCTTGTACCAGCAGCTTCTCTTTAGCATCTTCTCCCAACTCCTCTTGATCGGCCGTCCTTGAACTATCTCTCGCGTCAACCGCCCCCATTCTCCCACCACAGTTTGCTGCACATCCACAAGCAGACAGTCAGTCCTGCCATCCTCCTCCTCCTCCTCCTCCTCTTCCTCCTCCTCCACCACCACTTCCTCCTCCTCCTCGTACCAGCACGTCTCGGTGAGCTTGCTTCATCTCCTCAAAGTGCTTGTCGCAGCCCCCAGGAAGGAGTTCACGCTGAGAGGGGAGACGCTCTTCAAGGATCTCAACCGCCTCTGAGAGGTCGCGCAAGACCTCAGAAACCTGATAGACAGCTTCAGGAGCGATGGAAACAAACGTTCCTCCTCCCCTCCTCCCCTCCTTGCCCTAGTTATCGTCCTTGTCCTCCTCCTCTATCACCTTCCTTCATCATCCCCTTACCCCTATGTTCCATTTGGCTACCGTCATTATCTCCATCGCTTCCTTCTGAACCCTTCTCCTCCTCCTCCTCCTCCTCCTCATCATCATCATCATCATCATCAACCTCCTCCTCCTCCTCCTCCTCTCCATCATCATCACCTGCACGCCTCAACAACCCGGTGCAAGGTTGAAGATCTACTGAGCTCGAGGGCATCTCGCAGCAGCTGTATGTATGCCGCCCATCCTCGCAGACAAGCTCGCCTGACATTCTTCTGCCGCAACTTCTTGACGCCCAGAAACTTCAGCTGGAGGTGCTCCCGACGGACTTGAATGTTGTAGACGACAACAGCACAAGACAGACGCAGCAGCCTCGCCGACACGTCCACCAGCATCTGTCTTGACCTGCCACAGCGTCACATGCTCGACCTCACTTGTAGCATCAGCTCTGACTCCTTCACCTCTTGCACAGCTTCACGTGCCTTGTCCAAACCTTGACGCAGATGCTCTTCAGCGCGGTTCGCGTCCTGATCCTCAGCTTGGCTGCCACAGCCACCAGCAACATCCTCCTCCCTCTCCCCGCCTCCTCCTCCTCAGGGCTGCACTGGAAGCTGCTGCAATACTCGGAGGTCCTCTGCCTTGTGACAGGAGCATAGTGCCCAAACACGCACAGCTCCTGCTCAGCGGGTCTGCGTCGAAACGCCATGAGGAGCAGGGCGGGAGAAGTCAGCGGAGAGTCATGGCAGAAGAAAGCGATGCCGATGCTGAAGATTGTCCAACATGTTCGCTCGTCAACATCGACGACCTGAAAGGCAAGGATAAGACAAGAATCAACTGACTCGAATTCTCCGGAGTTGAGATTCCCGTTGAAGGAGGAGTGGTATAGAGCAGGAGGAATGTTTACTATCACTCCTTTCTTGTTAACTCTATTGATTTTGATTCCGATTCTGATTCAGTTTCTAATTCTCATACTGATTCTTCTACCACGGTCAGACTTACTTGTTCTCTTGAGCCAATAGCTCTCCCTGCCTCAATCTTCATCATCCGTCCTCAACAACAACATCCTTCCCTCTAACATCTGTGATTTGACACCTCTTCATCGTTATCCTCCTCGTCCTCGTCTTCCTTATCATCTTCCTTCTCCTCGTCCTCGTCCTCGTCCTCGTCCTCGTCCTCATCATCTTCCTTCTCGTCCTCCTCGTCCTCGTCCTCGTCCTCGTCCTTGTCCTGTCCTTGTCCTTGTCCTCCTCGTCCTTGTCCTCGTTCTCGTCCTCATCTTCCTCTTCCAACTCCTGCTCCTGCTCCTGCTCCTCCTCCTCCTCTTCCTCCTCAACTTTTGTCCCTGCTGGTCTAGCAGCTCCGCATTTTTCGAACGCCCATCTGATTGTTTGCCTGACTCAAATTGGTAGGGTGGGGTAGCATTAACAGGGGTACTTTTCAAGTCAAATTTGGATTTAAAAAGGGTGGGGTGTTGTCGGAACGAGGGTAGGGGTACAGATAGGAGTTCGGTCGTCGGAGAGAAGTTGCCCAGGTCGAGAACAGCGGTAGAGAAACGAGGAGGAACAGGAGGAGGAGGAGGAGGAGGAGGAGGAGGAGGAGGAGGAGGAGAAGATTGGAACGACGAGGAAGGTCTGTTGGTGGGAGGAGGAAGAGGAAGAGGAGCAGAGGGCTGTTGGGGGGAGGATCAAGAAGAAGAGGAGGTGGTTGGGGGAAGAGGAAGAGGTGGAGGAGGTACTGGTCGCGGAGGAGGAGGAAGTGGACATGAGCGATACAGAGCATGGGAATCACTTCACAAGTCGTGCAGAATGAGTCACCATAGCGCCACAACCTCCTTCAAGAACGAGTTTAATCCCCTGATCAAAACTTGAAAATCCTGAAACCAGCTCCATCGTCACCCTCAAAATTTCGCAACCATTCCAGCTGCATTTATCCTATCTCCTGGAACCAAAACAAGAGCAGGAGCCCCTGGGAGACGACTCCTCGGCAGTCGTCGAAGGCTCCACAGGACCAGCAGCAGGAGCTTCGATGCCCTGGATACCCCGAAAGCTCCCTTCTCCCTTACCCTTTACATGATCCCGAAAGCTTCGGATTCGATTCCCCAACCCAGTACGATCCTTGACTTTGACTTTGTTGGAGAACCCGATCCGAGCTAGGGTCCAGCTCCCGATGACCTGAAGGCCCGAGTCGTTCTGGTGGTTCTGAAGCGCGTGAACGATGGTGCTTCTCGCTTCCTTCTCGATCAGCTCGTCGATGATCTCCTCCGTCGCCGTCAGGCTCCCCACCGCCCGGCAACACTCCCGCAGGACCTCTGCATCCTTCTCGTTGGACCTTAGCCCGTCCAGAAGGATCGGCACCCCCCCAGCTTCATGGAAGGCAGCCTGGTTCTCCATCGATCCCATCAGGTTGCTGATGGCCCGGAAGCCATTGCGCTGGATCCTTGCCTTGGTAGGGAAGTCGACGATGGCCTTGAGGATCGCTTCGATCCCTCCTGCCTGCCGGATGGCTGCCTTGCTGCTGTCCGTGGTGGAGAGGTTGGCGAGGGCGGTGAGCGACTCGTTGACGATGTCTTCGTTGCCCTCGAACCTCTTCATGGTCTGAACAAGCAGCGCAGCTCCATCGTCGTCGATCATGGACGTGACGTTCAGCTCAAGGCACGAGAAGACACCCATGGCACTCAGACACACTCCCTGCAGGTTCGCGTCGTCGCCATGTCGCCTCATGGCAGCCATCAAGGCATCGATTCCTCCGTTGTTGTGCATGAACTTCTTGAGAGCATCATCGTCAGATAGTGATACCAGGGCGCGAATGTACGCGGCCTGAAGTGACGCATCACCCAAATGTGCTTTCAGGCCGGCCAATACTGCAGTGATACCTTTGTGCTCGAGGTCGGGGACCGAGCAGCGATCAAAACTACTACCAGAAATCTTTTCGCAGCATGCCATCTGTAAGCTTGTGTCCTGAATCTGACTCTCCATCTCGCAAATGCATTCGAGAATTTCGCTGTCGGTGTATGTAGGCGCAAAACTTTCACTGTTTGCACCGTCCATCAACTTGACTTCTACATCTTCAACGCCATGATCGTTGGGAGGAGGATGAGGAGCGTGGGACGGGTAGTGTGCAAGATCTTCATGAGGAGCAAAGTGTGGCGCTTCCGGCTTCTGTTCCACAATGATCGAGCTGGCGGGCGAGCATAGCTCCGCGGACATGGCAAGCTGCGTAAAGGCCAGGGGCGGGGGGAGGGGGGTCCTGTGTTGCGGCTTGTCCTGGGGGTGGTGGAGCAATGGTGGTTAGAAGGGGAAGAAGGGGGTCCAAATGTGGTAGAAAAGGGGGTGGTGAAAGGAGGGGGAGGCGGGGTAGGATACCTGCTGACCAACAAGGCAAAAAGCCTGTGGGGGGGGGGTCCTTTCTCGCAGAAAAGGAAGGGGAGGAGGTGGGGTAATTTTGTATCACGCATGGTAAACATGTTTTAGAGTTTTAAAATAACCAAATATAAAATGTTTTAGTCAGCTGCTGACATCCTGCGGCACGGACCCAGGAGTCGGAGGAGGGAATGGAGGAGGCGGGGAGGAGAGGAGAGTAGCGAGGAGGGGAACGTTCTTCGTCTTCTTACGATAGCCATCCTTGTCCATGAACCCTTTCACCTGCCGCTGATTCCCCTGATTGTTTTGTCCGATGGACCACTGTTCTATCCCCTGCTCGCTTCTCGAAAAAAAATTCTTCCTCAAATCAACACGTACAGGACATGGAAATCATTCTCCGTCCTCCTTCTCTGACTACTTACCCTCAAATACAACAATGAACATCTTTTATGCTCGCGCATACTCACGGCTGTCTGAGCAGGTGCAAGATGATGTCAGCTCCCAAGCTCCTGACGACTGTGCGCCCGCCCTTCAAGCTCATCGGCTACCATCATCTCGGGGTGGCCGTGTCGCAGATGCCGGCGGCTCTTGACTTCTACGGGAAGCTCGGCTTCAAGGAGGTGGAGGACGGGCGGTCGACGGAGGAGAGGAAGATGATGAAGAACGCGGGAGGGCTGCAGCTGCATCTGTTCAAGGCGGACGCGGGGCACGAGAACAATCAGAACATCCTGATGGACTTCAAGGACGTCAAGTACCCCGGGCACACGCACGCGAGCTTCCTCGTCCCCTCGGTCAAGGGGGCTCGGGCGTACCTGGAGAAGCAGGGGCTCACGATCACCGGGGAGCGACGGCCGGGGGGAGTGCTGCGAGCTGTGTTCTGCCGGGACCCGGACAGGACGACGATGGAGTTTGAGAAGAACTCGGGAGAAGACGAGGAGGTGGAGGTGACGGGGGAGATGATAGGAAACCAGCGGCCCATCGACCATGTCGGGATCCGAATCCGAAACCCGCAAGGCAACGTGATGTGGTACGCGGAGAAGCTGGGCTTCGTGCAGCAGGTGATGACGTACGAGCTGGACGAGGACCCGCTGAAGAACGAGAGGCCCTGGATCACGAGGCTGGAGGGCTCGCAGTGCGACATCAACGTGAGAGGAGGAGGAGGAGGAGGAGGAGGAGGAGGAGGAGGAGGAGGAGCAGAGAGGGTAGAGGAGGAGCAGAGAGGGAGAGGTGGTGGTTATGGAGGAGGAGGAGACTGACGGGGCTTGCAGTTTATCCTCAACTGCAACACGGAGGCGACGCTGGGGAACCCGCTGGTGGGGGCGGGGAAGGTTCTTCCGGGGATCGTGTTTGTGGGGTTCGAGGTGGACAAGGTGGAGGAAGCGAGGAAGTGGCTGGAGGGAGGAGGGGTGAAGGTGATGTCGGAGGAGGAGCTGGCGGGGGAGGAGTGGGGGATCGGAGGGTCGCGGCTGTTCACGTCGTCCAAGTCGCTGTTCTTGGTGGACCCTGACGGGAACCTGCTGCGGCTGGTGGAGACTTGAGGGAGGCGAAGAGGAGGGAGAGGTAAGAGAGGAGGAGGGAGGGGAGGAGAGGAGGAGGGAGAGGGAGTAAGAGAGGAGGAGGGAGGGGA